TTTTTTTTTTTAGAGTATGTGTACTTGGGCCTTACCCTTCGATGACAATTTTTTTTTTAATTTTCTTTTTTTTTCCCTTTTCATTTATTGGTGAATAGCTCTCAACCATGATATTTCTCGTCTCGTTTTGCAGGTTGCTAGTGCCCATCTTCCTGCCTTGATGCCAGGTGTCAGTAAGGACGCAATTAATCTCATCTCAGTAAGTTCGGTTAAAGTTTTAATTTTTAAATGCTCTACTTCGACAGTCTTCATAAGAACTTTTCTTGGGTGTAAGTTCAGGTTTTATGTAGCTCAATTTATACATTGTGTAGAAATTTTTACTCATGGTTCATGATATAGCTTTTCCTTCATTAAAAACTTACTAGTTATTTTTCACGCATATGCCAAATATAGTCACTGTGCTCGTGGGATCCTTGCAAGAGACCAACAGCCATGGAAGCTCTTCAACATCCTTTCTTCCAGGTGAAATTTAGATTGATTTTTTATTACATATTGAATTAAACCTATTCATTTTCAATGCGGTGAAGTTATATCACTAATGATTTTTTTTTTTTTCAGAGTTGCTTTTACATCCCACCATCTCTGCGTGCTAAGCCTGCTGTCACGAAAACACCTCCTGGTCTGCCATTCTGAAAATATTATATATACACATATATACACACATACATATATGTATATATATTTATATTTTCCTATTTTCTGGTTGATTTTTTAGCTTTAGGGAAAAAGAAATTGAGATTTTGTTTAATTGGTGCAGTTGGTCCTAGTTTTGAACAAAAAAGCGGTAGGAGATATTCGGGGAAATTATCAAACCCAAAGCCACTAAACAGCTTTTCTCCTGCCAGATCACACCAATCGTTGAGTGCAGGTATACATACATACACATATATATATATAGACTGAAATTCTGTTGTAAAAGAAATATAAATTAGGTTATATTCAAGCTTTTGTTTTTATACAGGCGTGCAGAGAAAGTTGGACTTGAATAATCAGGTAAGTCAGTATTGCAGTTTGTAGTTTTTTATGGACGAGAAAAAAAGAACTGTTCTTTACCCGCTCCGTTTTTGCAGCATGATGTAGTAACTAAACAGGACAAAAACCAAAAGAATGACATGAAGCAACAGCCAAAGTATCGGCCACCAGGATTTAACGGCCCAAATAAGCGTAATTACCTTGATTATTAGTTAATTTATTTATTTTTTATATTTTTTCTGATTACTAGACAAACTGCAAAGAGCTAATTGACGATTACTTTTTTTCAGACATTGGTAACTTGGAGAAAACTAGGATAGTTTCAAATGTAACCCAGAAGTTTGGTAAGATGACATTTGGCTCAGGCGATCAGCTGCTCGTCAAACGGTCATCTTTGCCGCCACCTATGAAGGCTGGAGGATTGGTCGGGCGTTCACAAGAAGTTGGTTTTCAGGGAAGGTCTTATACTCGGAAAGTGGCTGGATGAAGAAAAAAAGAAAAGAAAAAAAAAAAAAACACTGTTTGCCTACTGTGCTTATGTTTTCTTCATGAGTGTGCTTGGCATGAGAATGTTTATGTTCAGTTGAGTGTGTGTTAAAAGTATTGGTGATGACAGTTTGATGTGTGCAGTATTGAATAATGATCAGTAATAAAACTTCAAGCCTAAAAATGCATAAATTTTTTTTTTTTTTTTTTTTTCAAAACATATTGTACATTACACCCGAAACTAAGAATGAAAACAAAACAGAGTAAATTACAATTCCGGTGTGATTCACTATTTTAACTTTTTGGTCCTCTTCGAATTGTGTTTTTATTTTGTTCCGTATGTTTAAAAAAATGTTCACGATAAAATAATCCTTTATGTTTTGTAAAAAAATGTTTTAATTTTGTCCCGGATGTATGTATGAAAAAGACTTTTGTAACCTTTTTTTAAAAAATACGAGCCGAAAATAAAAAAACGTAAATCGAAGAGGACGAAAAAATTAAAGTATTTGAAACATACAGTATTAAAATTATAATTTACTCAACAAAACAAGATGTCCCTTTAAACATTAGAACATTTTTTTGTATTCAGCAGTTTTCTTATAGTTACTAGTTAGATATAAATCATTAAATCCCATGTAAATGGTTTTCATTTCAATCTATCACACAATCAAAACTGCATTGCATTTCTATGAGTTTGCATTAGCTAAGATATTGATCTTGTATCCTCTCCCTGTTAGTTTCCCACCAGTTCTTTGCATGAACTTCTCCGAATTTTTCTCGGCTGCAAAACAAAAACGAACAAACCGAAGCAAAAAACGAACCACGTTACCTTTACCATCAAAATAAAGATGCAATTCAGTTAAATAATAATGAATTTACGATATTTACCTGAACCGAACGCGCCTTAATTCCCGAGTCCCATCCATGAGCTGGCGGATCGTGATGTAAACTCCCGGCTCGTCTTCTTCGATCCATTCCGAGTCGATATCGCTAGCGTTGCTTATCGAAACCGAAGGCTCGTCTATGGATGATGCAGTTGTTGGGCGCGAAGCTTCAATGGGGCCCGCGTTGTAGTAATGATGACTTTGGGCTGCGGGCTCGGGTGGGCCACCACCGTACGGTTTGTTGTATCGTGGGGCCCACTCCCGGTTTATGGATGGGGTCATTCGCGGGCTTTCGAAGGCTGAGCCCAGCTTGGAGTAGGTTGAGTCTCTCTGCAGAAGTTGTTGAAAAAAAAAAAACACATGTAAATTGTAATGTAGCATGATCTGAAAATGTCTTGACGCATGGTGGTATAATTTGACTTACTCCATCCTCAGATCTTCCTGGTGTGTCCATAGCTTGCTGATTGAACTTCTGCACATTGTATAGCTCCATTATCCGGTCGAAATTTTCTCCCCACCATCTTTGAGCTTGAAACTTGTCGAACATTTCCCGGCTTCAAACAAACAAAAAAAAAACCACGTCAAGTTAGCCTCGTATATTCATGTATCAAAAAATAGAAGCAGAAATGCATTTTTAGGCCTGTTGGTTTAACGTTATAGCAATTTTAATTTCAAAATACTAACTTTTTGTCTTTTGGTCATGTGAATTAATAAACGACTGAAATTGCAACAAAATTTTAAATTACAAGACTTAAATTTCTGATCATAAATCTATTGGCAACTTCAGTCCTCAAAAGACTGAAATTGCACATGATCAAAAGGCAAAATGTTAGAATATTGAGACTAAAATTGCAACGACATTAAACTAGGATGACTATAAATGCAATTTAGCCAAAAATAAACGTCTGCTAAAAAACTCTCCTGAAAAACTTACCTAAAACGTATTCGTTTGAGGTCATTTCCTCCGCGCGGTAGGGAAACAAACGTAATTTGCACGCCGGGCTCGACTTGGGCCATCCACTCTCGGGGCTCGTCTTCATCTTCCAATGTGACGTCACCAAACTGAGAAGACGACACGCTGAATCTCGGGACTGTTCTATGATAATGGTGGCTCGTTCGCTTGAAATCCCAAGCTGGGGTCGAGCTCGAGCTTCCAGGTTCGTATGGGGCTCCCTCGGAAATCGTGTCGAATTCGCGGTACGATTTTTGGGCCGTTCGGAAGTTTTGGCTCGGTTTATTGTATTTGGATGACGAGGATGATCCCGAAACCTTTAGTGCCATGTCCTTGATCTGATCATATGTATAGAAATGTGTTACTACAGAATATGTGGAATGGGTTTATATTTTTCTTGGTAAAATGCAACTTGAATTTCATAAACATTCATAATGTGCAGTTTTATATGACCAGAGCTACAAATTATGAATGTTCATGAAGTTCAGATTGCATTTTTACAAAGAAAAATACTATAGGTTGTAAAGTCTTATTTGGTTGCTACATTATATGAATCAAACCAAAATAAGTGGTCAATAACAAAACAGCAAATCCATCACTATTTTAACACACTTTTGAACAGCAAATAAAGAGATGCCTTTGACTTACACAATTAAGCAGTTTGCAGTCTGGGGCAGGTTTTTGTTGTCTTGAGATCTTACAAAAATAAATTGTCTATAAAAGCAAATTAAATGTGTTCCCAAATAGGGATGTAAATGGGTCGGATTGGGTACGAGTTTTGGTAAACCCGAATCCGACCCGCATATAATTTAGCCTACCCAAACTCGACCCTTACCCGACTAGTGATCTTCGGGTTCGAGTTGGGTTTTACCCGACGGGTTAGTGGGTTTTCGTCGGGTAAACGGGTAACCCGAGTCTTAAATTTAGGTTTTTCCCGACCCATCTCATTTCATATGAAAAAATAAAATAAAATAATTTCACAATTAATTATAATGTAAGAAATAAGTTATTAACTAAGTTTGACAATAAAAACTATAAAAAATATATTGTTTTTGGAATAAATAATAAGATATGATTATTTATTTTTTATAATCGATTTAATATTATAACATTTAAACTTAAATATTTATTTTTTTATTATACAATTAACAAAAATTAATAATAAAATTATAAAAAAATAAAATAAATTTAACCCTTAATCAAAATTATAATAGATAATTTAATTTTTAAAAATAACACATGACTACTTTTATATTTATTATAAGTTATAAATATATATATGTATATGTAT